TCCAGGTGAGAGATGAGAGTGACTCACTCCAGTATCCTTGACAGCCTTCCGCGGTTGCTTCTGGTCCTTGTTCTCCCATACATCATCCTGATTTATTCTACACATTTACTGAGCACCACCCATGTGCCAAGCATTCCCATTCAGACCTTTGGGCAACATGTGGCAGAATCAAGATCCTGGCAGCTCTGTAAGGATGCACCATATGAGTCCTCCCATTGCTAGCCAGACCACGGCAAGAAGTCTGTTGATGTGTGGATTTATCTGCCGACTCCAACAAGTCACATATTCTTGGGGGACTCTAATTACAGTTACAGCGTGGGTCAGAAGCTTGTCTCTGCAGCCTGGGCTACCTGTTCCTGTGACTTCAAAGAGTACAGGTTAAATAAGGAGGATCTCCTCCCTATAATAACTAAGTAGGATAAATGCAGTGTCCCCACTCCCTCCCCAATGGGGGTTACTGTTCAGCTCACCCTTTTACTGCAGGCTTGAAGGCTATACAGTACCTCTTCCTATGTTCTAAATTTTACTGTGGTGATGCTTGCTTCACAACTATGTAAATATGCTAAAAACTGTTGACCTGTACACTTAAATTGGTGATCTGTATGGTATGTGAATAATATCTAAATAATGCTGTTACCAAAACAAAAAACAAAAAGGCCACCTCTTTAAAGATGATGGCATTATGGATGAATGAAAGAACAGCAGAGATATAAAAGTGCCAAAGCTACAGAATCGACAGTTCCCACAGATGTTGCATATTGACATATCTTATTTTATATTCATAGGCAAACCAAAAAAGTCTCTAAAACTATGAGAAGAAATCAAATCTATAAAGGTTGTATTTTCTTTACAGACCACTCCATCTAAAAACTTAGCCAAAGAGCAGCAATAATAATAATAATAAATACATAAACATTTAAATTCTCAAAAGAGATGTCTTTTTCGAGAAAAGGTGGTTGGATACAAAAGAAGTAAAGGAAATACATTAGTGAAATTCTTCATGTAACCTCCTACAGTTTACCTAGGAAAGGTGCAACCTGAGAGCGCACCCCTCAAACAGTCCTAGAACTTCCACGGTTCCTGGCATTGCTGCTCTCCAGGTGGTCCTCTTTTACTCTTTATATGGGGCAAAAATGAAAGGGTTATGGGGCTGCAAACAGCAAGCAAATGGACCGTAAAATGCTATCTGTAGGGTTTGTTTGTTTGGTTTTTTTTTTTTAGTTCACTGATTGCACTATATCTGCATTCATAATGATGCAGACAACAAAGGAAGTTCCTTTGACCAGAAGGGTAATAAAGGTTGATGCTATTTAAAATAGTCAAGGTCTTGGTTTAAAGGCAACTGTAGGCTAACATAAGAAGGAAGGAGAATAGGACTGTAGCATCTTGGAATGTGCAATAGTACGGGAAAGGGATTATGGGCACAGGAAGATATCTGCTCCTGACTTTTAGGACAGCAAGTTGTAAAACCTTAGCTATGAGACTATTGCTAAAAATCTAGAGGGGTTATTCAGGAAAGAAGGTTGTGCCTAATGAGAAATTCTCTGTAGACAATCAAGAACAGAGCGCCCAAGAAACAGAGCATTACCTAAGGAGATACTGATGTGCTTATATATTATGGGGGCTCTCTGGAAAGCTCAAACTTACGCTTTAGGAGAAAAATAAACTTTAAAAAGCATCTATGAAGGGTGCAGTTAACAGAGGCTCAAAATGCCGGAGTCAAAAAAATAAGGTACTGTTGGCTACATTCAAATTAAGAAGAAAACAAGAGGATGGAGTAACAATTTGGGGGAAGGGAGTGTAATGTTCACAGAAGAACACTGAAAAAGGAGCAGCCTATCTCCAGACGGAAGCTGGCTTGTATCTCTCATAATGAAGAAAACGGTCTCCATATTGGCAGGGCAAACAAGAAGCATGAAGACGGAGCTGGGAGGCAGAGAACAGGAGCACTGTGCCACTTTTAATGACTTCTGATTCTCTCCCTGAGATGGTTCTCACCTCCGGGCACTGCAGAATGGACAGGTCCCTTCTAGATACCATGTGGATGGAGGTGGCATTCTTGTAACCATGGCAACAGTCCCACTATGCATATGTACCGTGTGTTATGTTGTATATACCGCCTCCTCTTCCAGGTTTCCCACTGGGCTATTACTACTGCCTTCATTATATACTGAAGCTCAGCATTTGAGTGATCTACCCAAAGTCATATAGCCCACGGGGAACAGGACCAGATGTAGACCCAGCGGTGTGGCCATTTTGTCTGTTCACTACATCTTCAGCGAGCAACTGATAAAATTCAAGCTACATAATATTAACAACATCAGTATTAAGTGCATTTGTAGCAAGATGAATACTGTTAACCATCAAATGCTAGTTACTAAACATCTATCCAAAGGTCATACAGCTCTGGCTGTTCAATCCTCAAATCCCATTTATTCTTCAGACCATCCCCAGGAGGGAGTTACAGATGAGGACCCAAGGCTCCTGGCATTAATTAACTTACTTGGGGTCACCAGTGACTAGTGCAGCAGAGATTTAAAAGTATTGGAATCTATTCTAGCTCTAAACTCCATACTCTTTCTACTACAACTGGCTACTCCTCTAAATGTTATCAAGGACTAGTCTACAAGATGGAAGGTAGAGTTAACCCAAATGCAGCAGGCAGAAAATAGGCAATGGCTTTCTCGAGTCCTCAGAAGTTCGATGTTCCAAACCATTTTCATAAGCATGGTCTATGATCATACTCACAAAATCAAAGCCACCTCTCTCCTTTTTACCTAGATCTAAGTCTTGTGGGAAGAAACACTGAGGGCCTGAGTATAGCAGGGGAAGGAGTAGGGGTGGACAACAAAACAAATAGCATCTGAGTTTGCTGTGATTTTAAAAAGGTGCTCAAAGATTGCCATATTCCCTGAGGCAAGTGTACTTCCCTCCATTAAGGAATAGGCCAGGAGGTTGTTAGCCTGGGGGCAAAGGGAAGATAGAAGCATGGGGAAATGGAGCCTTCTCTATCATCCCTAGTACCACCTCCTGTCCAGTCACTAGTCCTGGCTTCAGAGAGGAACAAAGAAAGCACACAGATGAGAATCTAAGGCTCTTCAGGTTAAGTTTATGACCTGGGGTCAGCAGTGGTGAGTGCATAGCTGTCTAAACGTCTGGTGTCTAAAAATCTGGTGTTTCGGGCGCCTGGGTGGCTCAGTAGGTTAAGCCTCTGCCTTCGGCTCAGGTCATGATCCCAGGGTCCTGGGATTGAGTCCTGCATCGGGCTCCCTGCTCAGCGGGAAGCCTGCTTCTCCCTCTGCCTCTCTCTCTCTGTCTCTTATGAATAAATAAACAAAATCTTAAAAAAAAAAGAAAAAAAATAAAAATCTGGTGTTTCAGACTCACAAAGCACAGGCACGAGCAAGTCCACTGGCGCCAGCAGCAAAGAAAACCCTGCAAGTATAACCATTTGTCAATCAACAAAGGTTTATCGAGCACTTCCTACTGTAGCTAAACACCAAGCAATGGGTAAGCACTGGGAACGAAGCAGAGAATGAGACAGACACCGTGGCTATCTCCGCGGAGCTTACAGTCTGTAGGGGGTCCTTGAAAGCTAGGAATGGAGTTGAATCTTTATCACACCGCTGAGTCTCCATTAATTCAAAGAGTGTTTCAAAATTCTGAGAAAGAATTATTATATTGTTTATTTTAATCAAAAAACAAAAAAAACAACACTACTTACTTTTAAGGAGCCCAGTAATGTAGCAACTGTTTATTTTAGGCGCTGGCTTCGGAAATTTGATCAGATGTATGTCTTAATAAAAATATAACTTGCTGAATATTTAAAAATCCACCACCAACTGAAACTTTCACCTTCTGAGAAATTTAAGTCAGCTACACAAAATTAGTCCAAGTTGACCATAGAAGGTATAGGTAATACTTCATACTAGAACATATTTGGGGTGCCTGGCCAGTTAAGCATCCAACTCTTGGTTTTGGCTCAGGTCTTAATCTCAGGGTCCTAAGACTGAGCCCCATGTCGGGCTTTGCGGTCAGTGCAGAGTCTGCTTAAGACTCTCTCTCCCTCTCTCTCTCTTAAATAAATCAATCTTAAAAAAAAAAATGAACGTATTTCCTACTTTATTTATCCCAGTCCAATGTATGCCCCAAGAACATCCTTTGCTGGAAGTGTTAACAGCCATTGTCCAATTGCAAAGGGAGGTGTTCAATACCTGATCTATTTTCCTACTTGTTCTATTAATCCATTAATATAGGTCTCAGATTATCTCCTCCTACCACCTTCTATTTCCCCAAACTTCCAAAGAGTGGCAGAGCTGGGATTTCAGGGATTTAGACCTATGTCTGTCCACAAAACCAACTGAGCACACCAACTCCCTACATCTCTGTCATGTGTCCCCTCTCTAGATCAAAGGGAGCAAATCAGAATGCCTCCAGTGGCCAGGCAGGCGGAGCAGAAGGGCAGGAAGCGCATGCGCATGTGTGTTACGTACGAATAGGACGACAGGGAACTGGAGGGACTCAAAGAGACAGCAGTAATTCGGCTCCAGTGACTGCTATCATGTGTGATCTTGCAATTTTAAGAGAAATCAGAATTGCAAAATTTTACGTATACTCCTGAACATTAACATTCAATGTGAGTCCAAACTTACTTGTTTTAAGAGCACCACAGGGGTCAAACAGGTCACCAGCTCGCAACCTTTGTTAATGCACTGTTGGCATCATCTTTTAAACAGCTCCAGTTGGGTAAGCTAAATTCTGCAGGGTTATTTTCATAAGTGTAACATCACCCTGGGGATGGGTGAGACAGAAGGTTCATTAACGCCTGAAATACCGTGGGTATGCTCTTTTTCAGGCAGCCTAGAGGGACTCATGGACTGATACCATGTAAGGTAGAGCTGCTCACTTATGATCATGAGGTGCTTCTCTCCCCATGGGGCCCAGAAAACAAACTTCATTTCTTTCCCACAGCAGTAGTGATACCCCAAGCGGTTGCTTACCCGTTTGTCAATGTCATTGTGTTGGAGCTGCACAAAGCGGGCGCTGATGGCTGCAATGTAACTCTGCTGATTGGAGAACGCCACACGGCCAGCACCTTTGGGGTACTTCAGCTCTGGGTCCGTATCGATGCCGGCATAGCAGACACCACCGTACAAACGGTCCATGATCATTGCCAGTTCAACTGCAAGAAAATAAACACAATTCGGTATAAATGTTTAGAAGGTACTTTGGCCCAGGAGAAGGAAGAACTACTTAAAGATCATGCAGTATAACTAAGAAAAGGAAAACCCATGTTAGGTGTCATGAAGAGTGTCCACATCAGTCTTACAACTCAAGCAGGGGAACTCCTCATATTTAAAAATAAAATGAAAAAAAAAATTAAGAATTTACACAATACACACACAAATTTACATAATCAGAACTTCAGCAACATTATAAAAGGAATGATCTATCAGCAGTCCTCCTGTTCTAATTTCTAACTGTTTAGTCCACTGGAGTGGGCCCTGGGTAGGCAAAGCATTTCAAACAACGCCCTAACAAGTTAATTATAAATAGCCCTATTTACTGACCTCTAAGACTGAAAGCAATTACTAAGTCACACTGCTATATTAAGATTAAGCTATAGAAAGAATTAACTGCTCATTTTAACTAGAGGAAATATATTTATAACCTTAAGATAAATCTCTACAATGAAAAATATGTATTTTTTTAGTATTTCTATCCCAACTGAGAAATCTCCATACTAGCCTCTCACACTGAATTCTAAATAATAATAATAATAATACTAGAAATGATAAAGCAGCAATAAACATTTATTGAGCACTTACAATGTACTAGGAAACACTAAGCTGCTATGAAGGCAGTAAAAACATACCCATCCTGTACTCTGCTATAAATCCAGAGGTCTGGTCTGCACTCCTTGCCACATTTCTTCTAAATAGACCCTTATATGGGTATATTTACAAAACACCTATACAGAAGGCATTTGGAAATTGGACCATTCCAAAGGTCTGATATCCTAGATTATCCTCACCATAAAGGTGTCAAGGAGAGACATGTAGCAGTTACTTACCTGGATCCAAATTGCCTGAAGGTAATTGTATACTTGATACTGGATGTCACTTCCTCCACGTATGACCATTTCTTTCAGGCTACTCATATGACTTAAGTCCAGAAGACTTATCCCTACCCGTGGGGAATGACCCAAGAACCCACTTCCCTCAAACACCTACATAGGGTATTTCTAAAGGAGAAGACAGGGTAGGTGGATGATGACCTGTGTCACAGCCAGTGTGCAAAGACCGTCACATCACACAACAGACCTCCATGGGAAAGGGACTGCAGCACAAGCCAGTGAGGTGGAGGAGGAACTTCGTAGCAGATATAAGAGTTGAAGGGCTGAACGGTATAAGAACCCCACCAGATTTCTATGGCCAGAAGGAAAGTCAAGCATTACTGGTTCCTGCAGTATGAAGCTGCTGAGCCGGTAAGAAAAGCTATGTTGCTATGACAGAAAGGATGTCTTTCTACTTAACTTCTTCAAAATTTCTCTCCATACCAGACCACGTAATACTGGTGATTGTTTTCTGAGTGCCTGTTTTTAAGAAGAATGATCTGCAACCAACAGATTCTGGAATTTTCAGAAGGTAAGAAAATAAGTTAGCAATAACTAACCCCTAGAATAGGTACTTTTGAAGATAGAACAGCAGAAAGCTATCCCAATTATCCCATTATGATCAGAATTTCTCAGAATTTCTGAATCATATCAACCAAAGAACATTGCTGATTACAGCCCAGTGGACTCTGATTGCAGTCTTGAGGCAGGATCCAGGAATCACATTCATTCAAATTATGCAGTAAGAATCACGCGCATACCCTGAATGTCAGAGTTCAGTGGGTCCTCATACTTCAGCCCAACAACCTCTGATTGCTTGAGGACTTCCTCACATGGCTAATTGTATTCCAGTAACAGAGACCAAGACATTGAAGGTAGAAATAATTAAATGCAGTCATTAATGAATCTCCCTTATTCGTCAATGGACTTACTAAAATAAGCAACCTCAGGAACTGGAAATTAAACACCAATTTTCCAAAGACCAGGCTTCTCATGGAATGGAATAAGAGCGTAAACACTCCGTCAGCCTGGTGAACAGCCAGGAGAAGAATGCTGGCAAGGGGCTGAATGGCACTTGTCTTCCACCCTTAGAAAGGACTCAGGAATGCATATGACTTAGAAAGAAGGTATACCACCTGTAAGCTTGAAGCTCCAGCTAAGGAGGAGAGTTACTATAACCACAGAGTTACTAGAACCACAAGTTCTTCTACAGCAGAGTGGTCTCCAAAGGACTTTTAGGGATCCTTGGATGTCAGAGAAAGTGCCCTCCATAGAACAAACATTCTATTACATCGTGAATCTAGCTGCTAGAAAATCATCTTCACATGCCAAAGATTAGGTCATGACTGACGTTGCTGGCAGTTAAGTATTTTTGATAGGAAGCAAACCTTCACTCATGTTTTTATGAAAGCTAATTATAAATAAATCATTTCCACTTAGAACCTTATATACAGTCATTTTCTTGGCCACCAAAAAGCCTGCAGACATTTAAGCTAATGAAATCTCACTCGTGTGAAGGGCAATTTGTTGAGAAGCTAGAAGAAACCAAGGTGACTAAAGAGTTGTTTTGGGAAAGAGTATGAAGATTTCCCATCTCTCTTTCCACCCTAATCCATGTTTTAACTACAGAAGGTCTAATACTGTGATCACCCTTGAAGAAAAGTAAATAATAGTCAAACAACTGCTGTTTATATTTGGTCCTTTACTCAGTCAGCAAATCTTCACTAAAAGCACACTTCCTGCAGGCTAACCTCATGCTGGGCTCTAACACCAGAGTGGTGTTATTTAGGTACTAAACAGAGTTTTGAATTTTTGAGAAAAGTAGCCATGCTTGGTAAAAACAGCATTTAAAAAAAGAAAAGAGAGAGAGAGACTAATTTAATTCATCCACAACATAAGTGACTAACAAGAAACAGAACAAGCCTTCCTTAAGTCCTAAAAATTTCTAATCTGAAACACTTTTGTATATAGAATATAAAAATTCACCTACAGATGTCAAAATATACAACTAGTTTTAGAGACTAGGTTTCAAAGGATTCTTTAAAGTGAGTATCACCAGTTAGTACAGGAAAGTCTCATACAGATTCCCTTCCTCCGATGTGGGTGAAGCTGAGCCATGAGGAGGGCTACCCACTTTGACTACCTGGGAGGAGAGAAAAATAGAAGAAAGGCAGTAAGGACCCAGCAGAAGTCAACTAAAACCTTTATGGATTTATCTGTATCTTGTGATCTCAACCCTCCTCATGAAATGTGAGCCTTTGATCAAGGATGTGTCTTATTCAGAAAATGTAGTCAAACTACCAAGTAAGCCTCTGACAGTGAATCCTCATTCTAAACCATCCTCTGTAGAAGGCAGGGACAGCGCAGCTCCCAGGAGCAGGGCATACAGGTGGAGGCTGGAATTCAGACAGATGGAAGTGACAGCAGGCATAGCCAGAGTCCATGTGGACATCAGGAGTTGTCAGACCACTTTCTATTTTTTCCTTCTTACCCAGACAGTGTTCAGAGGATCTGTCTGGTCACCACAGGGGTGGAAATGAGCAGGTATGGTAGCCATATCCAGTGGCATTTTGTACTTTGGATGAGATGCTCTGTGCTCCTAAGACAACTCAAGTCTTCTCATGAATGATTCTCATGAATCAGCAACCCTACTGACTCTAATCTACATTTTGGCTCTTGTGATGAGCTTCACCGTGCCACCGCTGGAGAGGGAAACAAGAATAGTGCAGTTGTGTGTAGCATATAGAAATCTATAAATTCCTCTGGGTTGTGGGCACTATGCCTCTGAAATTGAATCTAAACCCCAATTATGGATCCTTGGATTTGCTTCTGAATCTTCACAGAGATCTAAAAGGGACCTTAGCTCACCAGAGAGAAAATCATGATGACTCCTGCATCCTACCCTACACTGGGATCCTGTTTCTATCATTTAATTATATTTCAAAGCCAGCCATAGGCAGTGTCTAAGTCTGAGACACTATGAGAACCAAATGGGGTAGAGTAGGAATGAGAACTCCCAAGGGAAATATCAACACATTCATCGTTCCAGATTCTAAACTGTGAATCTAGAAGCCACATTTTCTTCCCCTTGGAAATAAGAACAAAGCAGACAGGAAAGAAGCATAAGTCACCTCAGGAGGATGAAGACATCTGGACTTCGGAAAGAAAGCACAATTCAATTTAGAAGCTGGACTGTCTAGGTTTTCCACAATTGCCGAGTTGGTTCACAAGGCAGTTCACACATCTTAAATGGAGGAAACATGCTCAAAAGGTTCCATTCTGCATCAAATGTTGGGAAGTTAAGAATATTTTCAAACAACCAGCTAAGTTAGAGAGATTGAATGTTTAACTTGATTAAATCTGTCTGGTACCAAGTTAACTGTTAATACTGTTACTGAGACAACATCTCAGATCTCAGCCTGATAAAGAAGCTTCCTTCTTCTGTGCAAAGAATATCTATACTTGAAGTCTGGAAATCTGAGTTTAAATCTTGGCATTTTTACTTATTGTGGCCTTGGCCAATCACCCCCTTTGAATTCTACTTCCTTATCACTAAAATGAAAAGTCTACCACTGACAACCTCACAAGGTTATCATGATGATTAAACATACATGAGAGCTCTGAACACACGGCTCAGCACAGAGTGCTGCTCAAATGTTTAGTTTTGCCCACAGGGTGTTCTTCTCTCTACTCCTAAATCTTTGCTTAATATTAACTTGGCCTGGTTTCTGCTCCATAAGCACCAATTCGTCCCAGTCTTACTTTGGCTTTATGCTAATGTTACTCAACCTGCCAATGATGTGGCAAAGTTTGACATCAATCATGGGTGAGCATTAGCTTTTCAGGGGGAAAAAGAACACAAGCAAGTACTAGCATTAGAAAATATCCTAAAGACAATCCAGTTAATCAAGTCAGTGTGCCAGATCTGGAGTTTATCTGGGACAACTCATACTGAACATGGGACTTGGTGAAAGAAAAAACTTCTACTACTGAGAAACCTGGTATGATTTCTGCCTGCTACCACTTTACAGAACAACAACAACAAAAAGGATATGGTTACGATACTCCTATTTCCTAAATCACAAATCAGGATGTGATTCTTAATACATATGAACTACCAGAATGTTTGTACAGAATGTCTGAAATAAATGCTCTTAGAAAAATTCAGGATGCTCTCTAAATGTACACCACATGTCACTGAATATTTACCTCAAGTTTTTTTTTTATTGTTTTGTTTTCCTCCCAGAAAAGCCATCCTCATAATAGAGGGGGGAAAAAAGGCAGACAAGAAAATTTTCAGGATCCATCACAGAATATTAGTAGGGGAAAAACAGACAGAAAAGAATTATGAGAGCAATAGGAAAGGCAGGAGACCCAAAGATGAGCAAATGTGGGCTCCAGGGACTCAGATAAGCAATCTCTCAAGATTGATCTGTTCTGCAAGACTGGTTAGAAGAAATGTCAGAAGGAAGTCATGAAGTGGAAGAACAGCTCACATGTCCCTCATTAAAGAGGAAGTCTGAGGGTTTTCCAAGCATGATTAAAGTTGGAAGTGGATGGGTCCCAAAGCTTGATCACTGAGGCAGTCCTCAGATTAGATATCTAAGCCTCTTGGGGTCAGGGTCTAAGCTGGGGTCAGAACACTCATGTTTATAAACTGGGGGAGCATACAGGAACCAGATGCTTCATTCTCCACCTTTTCCTGGTGGCCTCCTCATAATCCCTAAGCCTGGCACTCATTTCCTCTCAGAGCAAAGAGATGCATTCTAGAGAGGTCCTAATGCCACAGGGAAATACAATAGGGCTATTTCTGAATTGAAGACATGCTGTTTACATTACTTGAATGAAGAGTGGCAACATGCTGTTGTACTTTCAGGTGGTAGCAAGTAGAGAACCAGACAGACTACCCCTTTCCTGGTACTGACTCTCTGAAGAATATGTAAACTTTAGCCACATGATGGCATGGTGAGTCTACCTATAGCCTTTCCTAGGATGGGGGTGGGAAGAGGTGGTGAGTGGAAGAACAAGACCTGAAGAACACCGAGAGACTCAAGGCAAACCACCCTTGACTTGCCACTGTCACTGACGAGCGATGGAAGGGAGGGACAAGAGACAATAGGAATGTGTATTATTTAACCTTGAGCAACCAACAATCAGGCAATCTAACTTTGGGTAAGCATCTAGATTTTCCATTGATATTTTCCCATTTTCAGGTATTTTTTAAGCCTATGATTTTTTTTTTCCAACCTGAATTTTAAAAAGGAAGGCTTGTCAAAAAGACTGGAAGGACCAACTTAAATTTAGCCAGGGCAATATCGCTTAAAACAGCTTGCTTTCTTTCTTTAGAAGGGTTCGTGTGTGTGTTTGGTAGGATAAGGACTATATTTAGAATAATTTATTAGTGATAATAGTCCCTGTCTAACAATGGGAAGATATCAAAGAGAAAAAGCCTTGCAAGATACAAAGGAATAATTCTTGAGTGATAACATTTTAGTCACTGTAACATGTTAAAGGACAATTTTTGGCCTAGGGTGAGGTGAAAATCAATCTGGACACCTAAAAACCTCACCTGTTGAGTACTATTGAACCATGTCTAGTCCAGGATCACCCTACATACAGTGCCTTAGATAGTTTTAAGACTTTTCAGAATTTCATGACCACAATACCCTCTAGAAGTAATAAAAATTGGCCTAAAGTATTTTAAAACCAAATCTGAGAATCACTGTGTTGAAGAATATAATTTAGTATCCAATTACTTCTGAGTTAGCATTCTATTAATACATTTCTTGTTTTCGTCTCTTCTGAAATCTCTGACTCTGTAGATGATGACCTGTTTAACACGACAGTGGGATGTTCATTCAGTTTGGCACGGACGTGTACTTGCTCTGTGCCAGTAACACGTGGATGCTCAATAAATGTTTATTGTTCAAGTGAACTGCATTGTATTCAATTCAAGACTGCCTAGCAGAGTCAAAATGAATTCCTTTAAAAATAGTCTTCTATTCCAAGGCACACACCAGTCCACAAAGCTCAGTGTGTTGCAAAGAAACCCAATTCTATGCACATGGATAAAAGCTGCAGATGTTAATTCTTTTTGTTTAGATTACATGGATTCCAATCTGGAAGGCTTGGATGGAGAGTAACATGATAAGATGCTAATATAGATTGCTTAGCCATCTAGAAACTAGCTACACTTATGGGAGGTGTTGGCATGGAGGAACATTTTCACTAGACCACGTGAATGTAGATTACTATCCACACAAATGTAAAACAAAACCATTTTAAAACAAAAAGCTTTAGCTCAGCTTAAAAAAAAAGAGAGAACTTCGAGACTTATAAAAGGTATACTCTCTAGGTAGGGAACACAAAATCCCATTTCTGACTAGACAACTAAATATAATTCTTGTCTAATCCTAGGACTTGCAGCATCTTGTGAATAATAGTAAAAAGGGAATTTAGTTTCTAAACTTTTGTGTCTGTGACTTAAAAAGACATAAAAAGTTAAAGCCAGTTCTGTTATTTTTAGAACTGTGGGACTTTTTCTTTCAGAATTTTGTTTTTTTTTCTGATCCCCATCTAGAAAAAAAAGGAGAGGGACTAGAATCTGAAAACTAATTTGTACTTGTAGTTCGCTGCAAAAAAAAAAAAAAAAGAACAAGAATGCTAGCAATGAATGTCCATTCTTTTAGAATACATATGCGATTAAAAGACTGTCAAAGGGGATTCTTCTCCCTCTCTCCTCCCAAACATAACACCAGTTAGAAAAAGACAGGAATATTCCATGCCCCCACCCACATTTTTTTTTTTTTTAACACAAGCAGTTTAGAAACAAAGGGCTACATTTGCCCTCATCTCATAATGCTGTTCACGTTTGCGTTAGCCCTTCCCAGACTCTATTCTCTGACAGCAGATAAAAGGGAGGCATCTCTGCGCGTGCCTTTCTTCCTCTCGGCACAGTTTTCCATTAGAGTGAGAACAAGACCTAAAGATATTTGACTTTCTGAAAAACTGTAAAATTACAAACTTCATAATCACAATTAATGTGTTCTAAAGTCCTTCAAAATGGAATTATGAATATATCTTTAGATAGGCCTACGGTTATCTTTTAGGAGTACACTGAAGTTGAGATTTGAACAAATACATTAGAAATGTTGACGAACATTCAGAACTAAGAAGTCATCAAAGTCAGAGACAATTAGCTGTAATTCTTTTTTATAATTCTTTTATAATTCTTTTTTTCACTACTTGATTTTAATGGTCCCTGCTTTTTCTTTTCTTCTTTAGGTAGAACTGAGTCAGCTTGCTTACAAATAACAGAGAGAACATTGCACTTTTGCAACTACAGGGCAATAGTAACCTTATTTTTTCATCTTACTTTTGAAAAATGAACTCAATTATTTTAAGCACTTTAAAAACTTCGTTCTTACAAATAATTTTATTGTATTCTACTGGTAGTATGCTGATCCGCAACTAATTACATTTATCTTTGGATTTAAATATTGAAGTCATTGGCTCAGCATCACTTCAAATGCCCCAATTAATTATGATTCCGCCCAATCTCAGCGGACAATTATTTCGTCATTGGAAAGGAACTTAAAAAAGAAAAAAATAGGGAAGCTTTTAAAAAGTCATAATAAAGACGTTCAAATACATTAGTCATTTTTCAAAGTGCATAAGAAAAACAGGAATCTGTTTCACCTGGGAAGAGTTCAGTTTGATTCCCAGCGACACAATTCCTAGCAGTGGTTTGGCTTGTTACTGAGGGGTACACAGCTGCGCTGGACAGATTTCTGATGGGGTGACTTCTTTTTCTGTCACACATAACAATGCTGACTAGCATGAGAATGCACACTGCCAAATGTATTGTTATTATTTTTAAAATATGTGTGGCTGAGAGCACTGAATAGAATTCATCCTTTCAAAATAACAGTTTAATGAAACTGACTCTTGTACTGTAAGAAAATAAAGCATTTGGGGAGAAAATGTTTAATCCTGAAAGAGTTAGCTCAGTGAAACTTCTTTTTGGAGACTGTGTATAGCTGAGCAGAAATCTAGAAAATATTGAAGACTAAATACATTGGGGATTTTGTTGTTGGTGGTTTTGTTTGTTGTGGTGTTACTATTTCCACTCACCAGCTCGAAGGGGTCGTGGAACTCCCCCAACAAAGATAGTTTTTCTGGGGTCCAAAGGCTGAGAACCATCCATTACAAAGTCACTGTCACTTAGGTTCCATGGTCGAATTTGCACCTGAAAAAAAGTCGTTTACTTGGTCCTTACTTCATTTCCATCAACCCCAAATGAGAATAAGGTGACTAAAGACAAACCCACTGATTTGTGCATTTTACAACATACATAACCCAAACAAAATCCAGTTATTAATTTGTGTAATCTGCATTAGGTGCCTTTCAACAGAACTCAGGGAATCTACTTACAGGTACTCTACTCAATACTCTAAGACATATATCATGAAACCTTCAGAAACCACGGTTCTGAAAAAAGGCAGTCTTTTAGAGACAGACTCGGGGTTTTGAATCAGATCCATTTTAACACATGATAGACGGTTTATAACCTGTCACAGTTCAGCACTTAGCTTTTTAAGAGCTCACCTAAAGAAACGGAACAGGAACATTAGGCACATTTTCTAAAATTATCTATATGTCTGGCTTTTAAGTTTTTATCAACCCCTAAAATTGAAACATTTATCTTTCAGAAATACGGTTTAACACAGATCAACACTCATCAGGTTAGCATGGAATTACCAGCTATATCAAATACTGAAGCACATAGCATTATCTATTTTTGATTTATCTGATTATCCTAAGCAAGTGTGGTTAAATAAAGGTGAACCTAGAAATTGAAGTGACTTTGCAAAGAGTAGAAAAAGAAATCTTTATGGACATACTTCTTTCTATTTGGTAATATCTCTTCACTCGTACTCTGACTTCCTGCCTACAAAAAATAAGGTATTTCATAGAATCGTAACCTTAAAACATATTCCTCTCAATCCCTAACTCAATCATCAAAGAATAGCTTAAAACAAAACCACAACAAAAGGGCTCCCATACCAAAAGGAGAGCTTCAGTACTGCCTGAGACCAGTCACTCAGCGGGCCAGGTGGTCTGGGAAATGAGCTAGGTGTGGAAGCAGAAAAACCAGCGTCTATCTTTTGGGAACACGCCTCTCCTTTCTCAGTCGCACCAATAGGATAGGAAACAAAACAGCTGAATTTTCATTTCCTTAATATCAACACAATTCTTCATTTCCCCCATTGCTCAAGTGTCAACACTTAATGCAAAAAAACCCACATAAGATGATTTCTTATGTGGCTTGACTTATATCTAGAAGTACCCTGATTTGAAAGGTAGTAAATCTATCAATTATGGTGTCAAAACACCTTGAATCAACTCTAGAACTGGCATTGCTCAGTTAGAAACAGTCCACACATTCCTTATGATTGCTACAAAGTTCACCCCCCCCACCTAACCTTTTGCCATTTATGACACTGCCTTCAGCAGTTAGTGAGAAGCAGTAAAATCTCTATTTCTTCCCTAGACCCTGAAAACATGGACCTGTTTGCAATTCTGCTAACATTTATGCATTTGCTCCACCTTTACCATGTGAAAAAAAAAAAATCCTGTTCTTTGCTTGAAACATCTGGTCTGTTTGACTAAATTACCGTTCCCTTGACATTTACCACAAAGGCAGATTCACGAATACCATAAAGCACCACTTTTAAATCCCTTCTTGAGGGCCCACTACAAATTTTTAATTAAAAACATAATTTCTTCATACTGTAAGAACAAAGATTCTAATGTCACCAATAACAAAAAAGTAGGACATATCTTTTTCTACACAGAGCACTCTTTTCTTCCAGTCTCACCCCTGATAAATTTAAGGCAGCTTCAGGACCTGGTAAGGCAATTTCAATCACTTAATGATAATGAATTTAATTGTGGGTCACTTTGTTTCACAAATGAAAACAAATCCCTAGTAGTATCCATGGCATTCTGGTTTCATTTAATCAGAAGTACAGAAAATGCAGCCTTCTATAATAGCTGTAGGTTACGGCTGCTCAAAAGAACTCTGCAGAAGATCTCAAACCTTCCCGCTGAGAGCTCTCATTACTGCCTCTTCTCCTGCCCACCCTTGCTTCTTTACATCACACACAACCCATTCCCTTAGCCTATTCTTGTATTGTAGATTAGGTAAAAATACAGGAAGAAGACTCAAAAGACAGTAATTATTAAACCCTATTCACAGAACGTGCATTTCCCAGCTGACACCAGAAAATAGCTCCTCAGAGCTCCCACCACTACAGAATCAGAGAAATGTCAACATAGGCCAACATCAGCACATTCTACAAGCTAGGCAAAAAGTAATATTGTGGTGCTGTTTGCACTGGGAAGTTCCATTCACACTCTGGTTTCTCTCTGAAATATAAGCCCACTCTCACATAAGGCACGTTCTCCATCTTCTAAGTTTATTCTCAGCCCTCAGGGCCTGATATCCATATTTTATCTTTCTGACTTACTCTTTGAGTATATTTTCTGGTCCTTATTTATATATATAGATATTTCTCTACTTTTTAAATACCATGCTTTCTAAGCTGACTCAAATATACTATAGAAAGGGGTGGAATACAAATAAAAGAACTGCTTTTTGACTGTCTTCTTTTCTTTAATGATTATTTTTAAGAATGGATGAAATTAGAGCTCTGTTCTAATACAATATAAACTTCCCCCAGCAAAACAACCTTTACATATATAGAGATTGCTGTGTTTATGTATGAAACAACTCTTTCAGTATGTTGTCAAATAAGCTATACTCTGGGGAGTAAGAAGAGCCCCAACATCCTGAGGGTTGGGAGTATAGGGACTTCATCAGACATGGTGAAAATTCCCTTAAATGAGCCTGACAGTGATTCCAACACCCCTTCCTGGAGAAACCTGTCCACATTTGCTTAAAAAGGTCACTCTAGAAAGAGGCACGGCCCGTAGCCCTTCAGCCATGCCATGTCCTCAGAGCAGGGGTTACGCAAAATCAAATGTCCATAGGGATGGACAGGTAGCATAAATTTATCAGCCACCCAGACAACAGTTGTTACGCAGGCAATGACACACTGGAGTAAAACATTCCTTTTAAAGGAAGCAGACACTTTTCAGCTCCATCAAGTACTTATCATTTGTGAATGTACTGTCAGATTTTTCCATTTTGCAAGAGTAGCTAGAAATTCAGATTTTTATGTGAAACTTCAAGATTTTAAAATGTTGAGAAAGATTTCAAATGTTAAAGCCACTGTACACCTAAACCAAACTAACTGCAGACCAGATCTATCCTGTGGGCCCCACACTTGTGATCTCTGACTAGAAAGGTTTACTTACCCCACAGCTCCCAATGGAATGTTGCCTTCCATAAGCACTCATGAGAGAAAAAACAAAAATGGTTTTTCCGTAGTTTCTTTTTTAATTGTGTATTCCTATGGAAGCTCTGGTGAGGATTGTGAAACCTATTCTTTGGTTGAATTATTTGCTTCTTAATTCTTAAGAATTAATAATCGGAATTATTATCTGAATTTATAATCTTCTTTGCATAATTGCTTATCTTCAAAGACAAATCTTTTTAAGGATAAAGGCAAAAACCAAACATAAAGGTGGTGCTATTAATATATCAATTTATGCCATATAGTAACTCTAAAAGCCTTCAAGAAACCTAAAAGAATGTAACATTAATCATATCAACAGTTAGTAATGAGAGCACTCATTTTACTTTTCAAGGTTTCCCAATGTGTGTTCTGTGAACAGCAGGTCCGGAGGCATGTTCTGCCAGACAAGCAGTGTTTAGGAAAAGTTACAGGCTATCTCTTCCTTCTTGGAGTTTCATGGCACCCATTGGTGTATATTTAATCAAAGGCTCTAAGAAGTTCTACAGGAAAGAAACCTGTTCAAATGTGCTTTAATCCAGCATTTCCAAAATTTTTTTTCGTAACACCTATTAATATCCACACTTTGGATAATACTGCCCTATTATATTTTATTCTTAGTATGTATCAAAATATGGCATAACAAGGTTGAACCAACTGAACAAAATGTAGAAACTTCAATCAAGGCCTTTTCTCGCTTATTTCCTACTACTGCTCTAAAAGTGTTGTTCTGGTAGAAATTAACTTTAAGGGGTTAGGAGTATAGTAAATATAAACAATAGCTGTTCAAAGAATTGAAAGCTTTCTGACTAAATTGCACAAAAGAGATGTTTGATTATTTTGATATCAACGAAGAATAAAGTATTTAATTACAGTTCCATGTAAAAACTGAAGCTTCATCCTATTTAAAACTAAGAGTCATTAATAGGGATAAGATCAGGTCAAGTGCTAGGAAAAAAAAAATTAGGTAATAGAGTATGGAGTATGGGTCACTTATTTTGACAAGAAGCTATAAGATCATTTTCTAAAAAATAAATTTCACTGAAAATTTGTAAAAGCCTCTAAGTAAAAACTCAATATAAAATGCATTTTTATTGTATCTTTAATAACCGGATAAGAGAAAACACATAGCTTTAATAAGAACAATTTTTTAACATAAACCTTAGGGCTTTAAATCTCCTTACATGACCAAGCCACCCTATGGCTCTAGAATTCTCTGTTTAGACACAATTTAGAATTTAGACACTTACCTACCAGTAAATAATAGTACCTTGAGCTCATTTTGAACATCTCACCTACATTTCATCCTTGTCTGGTCATCTCCTTAGGTTACAAACATCCAACACATGAACGTCCTACTGCATAGTGCCTTCCTTTTCATCTATTCCTCTTAAGACAGCTCCACAAAGCAACCAGACTGTTCAGAGTCAACAGTGCAATCTGGTGGCCAACTCAGGAAACTACCTGATCAAAACCCCCTTCCTGCTATGTTTTCTTTCCCATGAATTTCCCATAAAGCACATGGCCTAGCCTCCCTAACCCCAATTTCCATTTTCTTTTTTCAATACCCTTCAAACTCCTACTCAGGAGAAGTTCTCCCATTTTTCTCTCCCTAGTCATACAATCCTTTCAATCTACATGACTCACAAAAGCAATACTGCAGAACCATCAGGACTGCTCTCCCTAGCAAGCAGCAGCATCGCAGCTCTTCTGACGGCCAGGATGAGTCAGCTAAACTTAGGTGACATACAGCTGCAACAGCTCAGCTGTACTGGTAATGAACTCAGGCCCACCCCAGCTGTCAGCAATTCTATTTTAAGCATCACAG